GTAGCCGGAACTCCAGGCACGTGCTACCATGTCTGGCTAATTTTTGATTTATTGTAGAGACAAGGTCTCGCCAAATTGCCGGGGTGGCGATCCACTCGCCTCAGCCTCCCAAAGTGCTGGGATTACAGGCTGAGCCACCGAGCCTGGCCTGTCTCAGCATTTTTAATGGAACATAACTCATCCTTTATTTATTGAGTTAATGCTGTCATAAATATTACTGTTTTGTGCCATTGGGATTTTTAGGGTTTTCAGTGTAGGGTGGAGGTCATCAGCCTCTATATTAGATGGCCCCAGAGAGAGACACATTAGCCTGGTTGTGGCTATTGAAGCTTCCCTTTTAGTATCATCTTTTTGAAGATGCCTTTAAATGGCAAGGGATTTTTTACTGTCTCTGCTTCTGCTTGCTATTCATGTTCTCTTTTTGTTTTTGTTGCTCTTGAAATGTGTCAAAGGATAGAACTGAAGTTTATAAAGAAAGTAATTGTAGCTATTTCACGAAATACCTGTATGTCCTTGGGCAAGTTACTAACCTCTCAGCCTCATCAGTAAAAAAGTTGTTGGAAGCCGGGTGTAGTGGCTCATGCCTGTAATCTCAGCACTTTGGGAGGGCGGAGGCGAGAGGCTTATCTGAGTTCAGGGTTTCAAGACCAACCATGGTGAGACCTCATCTCTACAATCAATCAAAAAATTAGCTGGGCATGATGGCGCATGCCTCTGTGATTGCACCTACTTGGAAGACTGAGGTGGAAGGATTGCTGGAACCCAGCAGTCCAAGGCTGCAGTGACCATGAGCCTGCCTCTGCACTCTAGCCTGGGCGAAAGAGTGAGACTCCAACTCAGAAAAAAAAAGAAAAAAGTTGTTGGGTTAATTAAATAGTTAATACATATGAAAACTCTGAGAACAGAGACTGGCATATAGTAAACCCACCCTACCCTCAGTTGGTTCTGCTAGGACCAGTGGAGCTTATTTTAACACTGACATCATCTGATTGGGATTGGTCTTGGACTGTTAATAGCAGGAGTACCTCAGAATGGTGATTCTGGAAGAAAGACTCATCAGCCTCCTAGGGGTGTTTGCATCTTCTAGGCCTCTCCCTATCTTGTAGGCTCCTTTTCTTTCCTGTCCTGACACCAAAGATTGGGTTTCTGTAGGAGACAGACCAGACTTGCCTGGAAAGAAAACGTCTCTGGAGCTATTAGACTGTGACTAATTCTCATTTCCAGAATATAAAGGCAGCAGTTTAGGTAACATTTTGGCTAATGTTTGACCTAAGTTTTATGTGACATAACATTGCTCCATTTAACTTACGGTTTTGGTTACCTGAGAAGTAATGAACTCAATTCCTGAGAACTTTGAGAAGAAATATGGCATTTGTACTGCAACTGCTATTAGGGTTGCGCAACAGGATTTGGAGGCACAGGGTGGGCTTAAGGGCTATATCTGGTCCAGAAACCACCCCTCCCTTTTCTTCCACCAAGGCCCATGTTTTCTTTTAGTATTAGGGATCCAGTAGAAGATACGGAATGTCACCAAAATGACTTCATCCTGAAGGGAATTCCTATTGACTAGCAACTGCTAGGAAGAGACTGTCCCTCATTCCCAAAGATATTTTTATTTCAAGCCACCTCTCTAAGGTAAAAGAAACCTCAGCTGTCTCAGCAGCTTCTGCTGTTCATTGTAGTGGCAAATGGCCAGGCATCTTTAGCTCAACCTCTGGCTTCCCTAGTGCTTTCTTCACCAGTGGGGCTGTTGATGTCTTATAACTCTTGTGTAGTTGCCTTAGAATATCTAATGGTGCTCCTTATAAAATAGAGCTTTTTAAAAAAGACATTTTTGATATGGCTTAAATCTTAGACTAATACGGGTTGAGTATTCTTTATTCACAATGCTTGGAAACAGAAATGTTTCAGGTTTTGGTTTTTTTTTGGGTTTTGGAATATTTGCATAAATATAATCGGATATCTTGGGGAGGGAACCCAGGTTTAAACATGAGATTTATTTGTATACACTTTATACACATAGCCTGAAGGTAATTTTATATATTTTTAATAATATTGCGCATGAAATAAAGTCTATGTACATTGAACCATCAAAAAACAAAAGTGACAGGTGTGGAATTTCCATTTGTGGCATCCTGTTGGCACTCAAAAAGTTCTGAATTTTGTAGCAGTTCTGATTTTGGATTTTTGGGTTAGGGATACCAACCCTGTAGTATCTTCAGTAACTGCAGTCCATACAAGACTCTCAAATGAAAACAGTTCTTGTGTGTTTGTGTACATGCATGTGTTGAAGCCAGAGTAGTGAACTCCGTCCACTTCTGACTTTTCTTCATCCTGAAGTAAAGGCTCTACTCCTCCTTGTTTTGTTTCAACATATTTTGTGCCATTAGCATACTCTGTGCTTTGTTAGTGAGTTTGCGCTCAGTCAGTAGACATAAAAAAGCAAAAAAACAGAAAAGTGAAACAATATGGAACTTAAAAGTTGAGTAAAGAAGGAATTGAGAAGAGGCCTGTCATAGAAGTGACACCATGAAATCTTTCTAAACCCTTTTATTTTCACTGTCTACCATTGCTCCCAGAAAAACAAACTCTTTTTTTTTTTTCTCATTTGGGAAAAGGCTTTTTGTTTTGCATAATGGTTTTATTCTGGATTTTTCTTAGCATATTCTAAACTTTTTGGGGAAAGAATTGTTTGTGCTGTTTGTTTTAAATATGTCTTTAGTGCATTCACTTAGGATTTGTGGCCACAAACTTGGTTTGCAAGTACCTATTGTCTTTGAAATGCCTGATGCCTGATCCCTAACCCTAACCCTTAACCCTAACCCTTGATACTTCTGTGGAGCTCAACTTGAAAACTAAGACATTAGACTTTCTGTTTTTTAAGCTTAAACTGAACACAGGCAGTTTTAGTTCCTGTTTTGCAAAAACTGACATTCAAAATGTATTACCCGAAAAAGCAGCCTTTCTTTCATTTGTAGTATTTTGGAACTGCAACTGTGAATAACACTAGGCATCAAACTTTTTGAAAGATTTGTTGGTTACTCGCCTATTTTTAAGTGGACTTTGCTGGAAGAATTACATTTTTACCATTCATTATTTACAAAATGGTGTCCACGGGGGATTGGTTCCAAGACTCTGCAGGTAACAAAGTCCATGGATACCCAAGTCTCTTGTGTAAAACGTGGTGTGGCATATAAAATGATGTGCATGTAACCTATACACATCCTCCTATTCACTTTAAATTGTCTCTGAATTACTTATAATGCCCGATACACTGTCAAGAGTTGTTATGCTGTGTATTGTTTAGGGAATAATAACAAGAAAAAACTGTATGTGTTCAGTACAGATGCAACAATTTTTTTTCCTCCAAGTATTTTTGATCTGCAGTTGGTTGAATCCATGGAGGCAGAACTCATGGGTGCAGAGGACTGGCTGTATATTAAAACTTTTATATTCCTTGCCATGTAGTTCTTAAAGAATGCACTAGCATGTCTTCAGCTGCCTGCAACCTTTTTCCACTTTTACTACTTCCAGTAGTATGCGCTGAAGTAAAGGTTAATAACGCTGTTCTCATAGGTAGATAGGTAAGTTTCAAATAGGAGATTTGCTTATATAATTATAGGATTTCATTGGAGTTATTTCTACTTTGCATAATACCTATATTTAGTTAGTAGAAAGTTTCCCAATCTTATCTTGAACACCATACATAGTAACTTATATGCTTAGATAAATGCATTTTCATGTATATATGCAGTTTATAAAAGATTAGAGAAAAACATAAATGTTAGCAATTTTCTTAAATGTGAATTCCTAAGGTTATTGTTGTCTCAGTAACAAATGAAAATAAATTCCAAGCATCTTGACACAGTTCTGTTTTCTATTAGGTTTTTTGGTGATATTTTGTGTATGTGTTTTTAACTCTATTTGTTAAAAACACATCATTCTTCATTCTGAGGCTAGGTTAACTGTCTGCTGATTGGCTTCCTAACAATTTCAGTAATTAACCTCAAATTGTGTTTTCTCTTAAACTATTTCCCCTTTTAGTCAGATAAATTTTATTTATCCAGATGATGTGAAGATTTAGAAGTATTCCTATTAGCTCTGATATCGCTTAGAGTTTCTCCAACTCTTTGCACATCTATCTCCTTTAGCTGCTCTGAGAGTTGAAGTTCCATGGTTTGGAATTTAATCTGTAATTGTTAAAATTTTCTCTTATTGCTACTGCCCTGTCTATGTTAAGTCATAATATCAGATTGTAGAAAGCAGATTGTTGAGGTCTTTATGGAGAGGATAGATAAGATTTTTTCCTTGTGGCTCACTATGTAACTTCTCCCAAAATTACCACAGAACAAGTAACCTACAGATGCTCAGCTGTAATTTCCTTCTCCCTCTTTTAGTAAAATGCCAACTTGCACAGATCAAAGATCAAGTTAAGCAACTTTATCTTAAGGCAGAAAAATAACAGACCAGTCACTTAATTATGTGCTTTTTGTATGTGCAGTACAAATATCAATCTCTTAGTTTGTAAATTGCTGAGAAAGATAGATTAAAATGAATAGTGGTTACCTCTAAGAATTTAAAACAAAAATTGAAACTTTTTAATCAGTCTGAATACTTTCCTGTGTTTTGAGATACTCCTCCTGTTAACTATATTTTGATTAGTCTGATATATTACTTTTTACTGGCTTAGCAAGTATATAATTGGTATATTTTATAGAAAAAATTGCAACTAACACAGATTCATAATTCAAGCTTAAAGATTTATTTATATTTTCTGAAAATTTTATATGTGAATTTGACAGTATGATATTTGTTAAAAACAAAAGAGGTTTTCAGTAGCTTTTTTTTAAAACAGGATTTATTAAGAGGACAGAAACACTTCCACAGTGGGAGGGGATCAAAGGGGTTTCCCTCAGTAGCTTTTTAAAAAACTGTGTGATCTGAGATACTCTTGAAAAAATGAATAAAATTATTTTTGTTTCATGCCAAGAAATGGATGAAAAGAAGCTGCTGGATCCAGGGTTGAAGGTTCGTAAAAGCCTCTGGGATTATACTCTGAAGAACCAGCATATGGAATGCCTGAGTGACTGAAGAAAATGGGTGCTAATGCATCTAACTATCCTCATTCGTGTTCCCCGAGGATAGGGGGGAATTCACAGGCTCAACAGACTTTTATAGGTAACCTTCAGTTTTTCTAACTTGGTTTTATTTTGTCACAATAAACAGAATTGTGTTTTCAGTGGTCTTTGTAGATGAAAAGAAAATTAAGCTGTAGAAAAGTTATTATAGATTATAATTCTTCAGCATCTAGATTTTTCCTCCCAAAAATGTCAGTCTGGCTTGTATGGTTTTTATCCTAAACAAACCACTTGTAGCACAGTCGATCTTTTCTTTGGCTGTTGTAACCATAATTGCCGGTTACCTTAGGAAAGCTGACAGTTTCCATTGGTTTGCAAATAGTGAATACATATTTCCTGAGTACTCTACTGTTCCATTTATTCTGCCCATACAAATGTAGCCTTGGTATAGTTAAAAAGAAAAAGAAACATTTCACAGTTATTTACAAGTAATATTCTTAATTTACAAATCTGCCTAGCTCTCATTTCCTAAAAATCCACGATTAAGATCCATGGTATATGGTCTTTGATAGTCAGAGAGCCAAGGACTTTTAAAAAAAAAACCCAGACTAATTTGCTCTATTTGTCTCTATTACTTATTTAATATCAACATGGGTTATTTGAACTTTTAATCCTCCTTTATAAAAAACAAAAGTTAATTTTATTTGAGTTGTTCAGTAATGTCTGTTTGCAGTTTTTCAGCATGAAAAATGTTAACGTGAATGTTGAAAATGATTGTTAAGAAAAAAGAAACAAATTTTCATTTGTTTAATTTCCTTCTTAGGGACATCATCCTATTCTCAGCAAGGCTATGGTTGTGAGTCAAAATTGTATAGCCTTGACCATGGCCACGAGAAACCACAAGACAAAAAAAAGAGAACCTCTGGCCTTGCCACCCTCAAAAAGAAGTTTATTAAGCGTCGAAAATCGAATAGGTCTGCGGATCACGCCAAGCAGATGCGAGAACTCCTCTCAGGGTGGGATGTTAGAGATGTCAATGCATTAGTGGAGGAGTATGAGGGAACTTCCGCGTTAAAGGAGCTTTCTTTACATGCCAGTTTGGCTAGACCAGAAGCCCGGACTTTGCAGAAAGACATGGCTGACCTTTATGAGTACAAATACTGTACTGATGTAGACTTAATATTCCAAGAAACTTGTTTTCCTGTTCATCGTGCCATTTTGGCAGCGAGATGTCCATTTTTTAAAACACTGCTTTCTTCCTCACCTGAATATGGGGCAGAGATAATAATGGACATCAATACAGGTGGTATTGATATGTCCATGTTTTCTGCTTTGTTACATTATCTTTATACAGGAGAGTTTGGAATGGAGGACTCAAGGTTTCAAAATGTGGATATCCTGGTTCAGCTTAGTGAAGAATTTGGAACACCAAATTCCCTTGATGTAGATATGCGTGGACTTTTTGATTACATGTGTTATTATGATGTTGTCCTTAGTTTTTCTTCAGACTCTGAACTGATTGAAGCTTTTGGTGGAAATCAGAACTGTTTGGATGAAGAGCTCAAAGCCCACAAGGCTGTTATTTCTGCACGATCCCCATTTTTTCGAAATTTATTACAAAGAAGGATACGGACTGGTGAAGAAATCACAGACCGAACTTTGAGGACTCCCACAAGAATTATATTAGATGAGTCCATTATACCAAAAAAATATGCAAAAGTGATATTACACTGTATGTATACCGACGTGGTGGATCTTTCTGTTTTGCACTGTAGCCCCTCTGTGGGGAGTCTCAGTGAAGTTCAGGCTCTCGTCGCAGGGAAGCCAAACATGACCAGGGCAGAAGAAGCCATGGAACTTTACCACATAGCACTGTTCTTGGAATTTAACATGCTTGCACAAGGTATGAAGTTCTGATTTTTAATTTCAATTTCCAGAATTACATATTTGTCTTCCAAATTGAAAACACAACCAGTGCACTATATGATTTCAGTGTTTGGAATGTTGACGGGGTCAGTTTGCTTTTGAACCTTCGGTTATGACTTCTAAGACAGACTGAGGGTCAGTATTAATGTGGTTCTTTATTTAATATTGAAATCGAGCATTTGGTATTAGTGACTAAGCATTAGATGAGAGTTGAGGTTCTTTTTTCTCTAATGTAAGACGATAGTTGTAGGAATATGTAATTACTCATCTACACCTTGTCCCCACCCAAGCTTTGTACTAACCCAGTTTCCCAGAGTTCAAAATTAGATTCTCATATTTACATTCAGTACCTTGTTGATGCTTAAATGTTTGGAATAAGAATAAAAATTCATTTCAAAAATGAAGATAGTCGCATTTGGATACAAACTTATTTGAATTAGAGAATTGAGCAAGGCTCCTGACTTAAATTTTAAAATAGTCCAAATCTTATTTTTAGGTTCAATTTGTGTATCAAGCAACAGCCTCAGCATGTAAAGCAGTTAGTGCTAGGCTCATGTGCCTTCTTATTAAACTAAAATTTTAAAATTAGGACAGCTCATTTTTTGTGTTATGGGTAAATGAATTCATGAAAGTTATGTTAAAAGAAGTATGTGTCTTTTGGCAAATTTCAAAGACCTTTTGTGGGACAGCAAAATGACAGAATGCATACTTAACTTTCTATGGCCATATATTAGAAGAAAACCAGTTGTATGACATGAGATTACTTGAGAAATTTAATTTCGCTAATGCATATTCGTTAAAAGAACATTAGAAGTTGCCAATTAGAAGAGAGTGTTAATGGTTTGGGCAGAAGACATGAACTTAAATAAGGAAAGCTAAGCACATTTTTCTAACTTGAAAATAATATGATTTGTATGGTTAAGTCAACCAGTTAATAGGGCTTTGAGAAATTGAAAAACAAAATAGCCCTAGTTAAATAACAATGTGAAGCCTGGTACCGGTGGTGCATGCCTGCAGTCCTAGCTACTCAGGAGGCTGAAGAAGGAGGATCACTTGAGGATAGGAGTTTGAGACTGCAGTGTACTGTGGTCACACCTGTGAATAACCACTGCATTCCAGCCTGGGCGACAGAGCAAGAATCCACCTCTTTAAGAAAAACGAAAAGAAGTCTGTAATAAATGGGAGGAACGCATTGATAAACATGGAGTGAAAAAATGTTGCTTCTTTTACATAAAGAATCTTTGAAAACTGTATTTTACCATTATCTTAGTAATAATAGACCTCTTATTACTGTAATCAAAATGTCATTAAAATATTTTCTTATTAGTTTAAAATAAGAATCATTATATTAATAGTAGATCATTTAAATGTCAAATGACAGGAAAAATATGGTATAAAAAAATAATCCAGCCGTTTGACCTACCATTCATTTATTCTTTAAAACCAAATTTGCCAGAAAATTCTTCTACTGAAAAATTTGAAGTTTATAACATTACCAAAAGGATGTAGCAATTGCTGGTTTTTCAAATTGTTTTTATTTTTTGATATGTTTTAATAATAAGAAACCAAAATGTATTGTATATATTTTGCTTGAGAAAGCATCCCTTAATATAGTATTTTTTTAAAGTTTTGAGTGAAAAGTAAAATTGTGAACCAGTTTTGGATACTTGGTAATACTTACTATTTATCTAGAGTTTTTTTTTTTAACCTTCCTAAGTGAGTTAATTTTTGTTATTGTTTAGCTATAAATTATATTTTATTCAGTGTATTTAAAGATATAAAATGACTTGGCATTATCTTAACCTGATTACTTGAAACAAGCAAAAAACAACAACAAAAATCGACCCCAGTATATGAATGTTCCCTTAAATTTGGGTATACATGCTCTTCTGTTTTCTTTTGTCATTCAAAATACATCTTGGGTTATTTTTGTTTTGTCTTATGTGACTCATGTGACTCATAGGCTTCTTTCTGTACCCTTGATAATATTCATACCAGGGTTTATAACAGACCCTAACTTTAACATAATTTTTGCCTCATTTCCAAGGGAGAAAAAATATTGGGTTACTTGCGGAGAGATTTTACACCAGAAAGTTTAAGAGCTCAGGTTCTAGAACCAGATGCACTGGGTTTAAATTCTTCTCTACCATGTTGTGATTTGTTTGACCTTAAGTAAGTCATATAGCCTCTCTAAGCCCCTGATTTCTCTTTGGTAAAATAAAAATTTTAAACCTAATGTAGGATTATTCAGATTAAAGGGAATAATATATGTTAGATGATCTAAATAACACCTGGTAGATAGTAAGCATTTAATAAATGCCACCTGCTAAGTGATAGTCATCATCACAACATATTTTTCACTGCCACATAGATTTATCTAAATATAACTTTTTAAGTTTTAAAAATAATTATATTAATTAACCTCAATACTAAAAATGTTTATAAATGTTTTGCCATTACTAATTTTAACAATTTCTTATAATTTTATCACTACTGTGAGCAAAACATACCTCTTACTACACTTATCTAACTATTGTTTAAGTATCTGGCTGTTTCTCACTCCACAATCAGTTGTTTTCAACAGGAGTTCTGAAGGTTGATTAAGCTGGAGACATCTATTGTGCATAATGAATTATCATCTCACCCATGCATCCAGCATGGTACTAGTTATGTACCATTTTGGAGAGAATTGAGTAAGCAGTCATTTTTTGTGTTTCATGATTCAGATGAGGACTTCTAGATTGTTAGATAACCTGAGGGTAAGACTGTGATGTTCTCATCTTTGTGTCCTGAATGCCTGGGACTTAGTAGGCATTCAGCTGGTGTTTTTGTATCAGTGACTGTTATATTTTATTCTAAATTAGATTTAACTTTATTTTTATTTTTTATTTTTTTGAGTTGGAGTCTCACTCTGTCATCCAGACTGGAGTGCAATGGCCGCTCCTGGCCTCCGCAGCCTCAACCTGCTGGGCTCCGGCGATCCTTCCGCCTTAGCCTTCCAAGTAGATGGAACTACAGGCGCGTGCTACCATGCCTGGCTCATTTTTTGATTTATTGTAGAGATGAGGTCTCGCCAAGTTGTCCGGGCGGGTCTCGAACCCGCGGGCTCAGGCAGTCCACTCACCTCAGCCTCCCAAAGGCGCGCAGGATTACAGGCTGAGCCACCGAGCCTGGCTTTTTTTTTGAGTCAGAGTCTCACTCTGTTGCCCAGGCTGGAGTGCCATGGCACGCACATGGCCACCACAGCCTCGAACTGCTGGGCTTAGGCGATTCTTCTGCCTCAGCCTATCCTTCTGCCTCAGCCTTCCAAGTAGCTGAAATTACAGGGGTGTGCTAGCATGCCTGGCTTATTTTTTGATTTATTGTAGAAACAACGTCTCACCAAGTTGCCCAGGCTGGTCTCGAACCCATGAGCTCAGGCAGTCCTCTTGCCTCAGTCTCCCCAAGTGCTTGGATTACAGGATTGAGCCATTGCACCCGGCCTAGATTTGACTTTAAAATGTAAGTCATGGCCAGGAGCAGTGGCTCATGCCTGTGATCCTCGTACTTTGTGAGGCCAGGGGTGGGAGGATTGCTTGAGCCCAGGAGTTTGAGACCAGCTTGAGCAGCATATCAAGACTTTGTGTCTACAAAAAATAAAAAAAAATAAGCCAGATGTGGTGGTGAGTGTATGTAGTCTAGTTACTGGGGATGCTGAGACAGAAGGATCGCCTGAACCCAGAAGGTTAAGGCTGAGGTAAGCAGTGATCATGCCACTCACTGCACTCCAGCCTGGATAACATAGTGAGGCCCCTGACTCAAAAAAAGAACAAACACAGCCGGGCTCGGTGGCTCAGCCTGTCATCCCGCACCATTGGGAGGCTGAGGTGAGTGGATGGCCTGAGCCCGCGGGTTCGAGACCTGCCTGGGCAGCGAGACCTCATCTCTACCATAAATCAAAAAATCAGCCGGGCGTGGTAGCGCGTGCCTGTAATTCCGGCTACTTGGAAGGCTGAGGCGGAGGATCGCCGGAGCCCAGCAGGTCAAGGCTGCGGTGGCTGGGAGCGGCCACTGCGCTCCAGTCTGGGCAACAGAGTGAGACTCCAACTCAAAAAAAAAAAAAAGAAGCTAGGCACGATGGCTCAAGCCTGTGATCCCAGCACTTTGGAAGGCCCAGGCAAGAGGATTGCTTGAGTTTAGGGGTTCGAGACCAACCTGGACAACTCGGTGAGACCTCGTCTCTACAATAAATCAGAAAATTAGCTGGGCATGGTGGCGTGTACCTGTAGTTCCAGCTACTTGGAAGGCTGAGGTGGAAGGATCACCTGAGGCCAGTAGGTAGAGTCTGCAATGGCCTGTGAGCATGCCACTGCACTCCAGCCTGGGAGACAGTGAGACTCCAACTCAAAAAAAAAAAATGTGAAAAAAATTGAAGCCCAATTTGAAAAGGAGACAAATTCTATGAAGGGAATCTGAGACTTTAAGAGTAAATGTACTCTAAGGTGGAAAAAATGATTTAATTAATAGCTTAAATTTAATATCATAAAAAGAGGCAATGTAAGCAGATAGCAAGAGTGATTTGGCAGGTGAGTAAAAGGGAGGATTCTTTGCTTACACAGAGAATGTTTTTTGCTTTTGTTTTTGTTTTGAGTTGAAGTCTCACTCTGTTGCCTAGGCTGGAACGCCACTGCAGTCTTGACCTGCTGGACTCAGGTGATCCTTCTACCTCAATCTTCCAAGTAGCTGGAACTATGGGCATGTGCCACCACACCAGCTAGTTTTTTTTTTTTTTAATTTATTATAGAGACAAGGTCTCACCGAGTTGCTCAGGCTGGTCTGGAATTCCTGGGCTCAGGCAGTCCTCTTGCATCTGCCTCCCAAAGTGCTGAGATTAGAGGTGTGAGTCACCATTTCCTGCTGAGAATGTGTTTTATATTGGTAGGCAATAGCAGGTAGTAGGCAATCTCAGGTAGATAATAGGGCCTCAATTATAGGCCT